CTATATACAAAATATTGCTGAGAGAAATTGAGAAGATACAGTAAATACAGAGACAGTCTGTGTCCATAGATTAGAAGACTCAATATTGTTTAGATGAGAATTCTCCATAAATTGATCTATAGAATCAATGCAATCACTATCTAAATCTCAGTAGTCTTTTTTTTTTTGTAGAAATAAGCAAGCTAAAGCTAAAATTTATGTGTAAATGCAATAATACGCAAATACCTAGAATACCCAAAACAATTTTGTAAAACAAGAACAAAGTGGGAGGAATTAACTTTTTGGTTTCAAAACTTATTACTAAACTACACTAATCAAGACAATATAGTACTGGCATAAGTATGTATGTAGATCAATGGAACAGAATTTAGAGTCCAGAAATAAACTATTATCTTTAGAGTCAATTGATTTTCAACAAAGCTGCTAAGGAAATTCAGTGAAGAATGGAGAGTCTTCAAAAAAATTATGCTGAGACAATTGGTTATCTCTATGGACAAAAGAAGAATTTGGATGCCACTTTATACCATAAACACAAATTAACTCACAATAGAAGAAAACAAGAGAAAATATTTGTAAGTTGGGCTAGGAAATGAGTTCCTAGATATGACACAAAAATCAAGATCCATAAGAGAAAAAATTAGAAATAGGACTTCATAAAAATTATAAACTTGTAAGCACCAAAAGATAGCATTAAGCAAATGAAAAGACAAGTCATAGATTAGAAGAAAACATATGCAAATCATATACATAGAAAAGGATTTGTATCCAGAATAAAGAAAACTAACAACTCAATAATAATGACACAAAAAAGCTAATCTAAAAATGGGCAAAAATTTGAATAGCTATTTAACCAAATAAGATATGTGTTGGTTTATAAGCACAAGAAAACACACTCAACATCATTAGTTATTAGGAGAATAAAATTAAAACCACAATTAGATAATCCTCATAATCAAAAAGTCAGGTAATAAATAACAAGTGTTGGTGAGGATGTAGAATACCTGGAACCCTGGTGCATTGCTGGTGGGAATGTCACTTTGAAAATAATTTGACAGTTTCTTAAAAAGTTAAATATAAAATTACCATATGACTCTTATGTACACATGCAACAGAAAATAAAGCGTATGTCCACAAAAAAACTTATGCCTGAATGTTCATAGCAGCATATTCATAATAGCCCAAATCATAAAATAATAAAAGTGTCTGCCAGCTAATAAATGTATAGATAAAATGTGGTTATATCTATACAAGAATGCTTTTTACAAACATAAAGGAACAAACTACTGATACATGCTACAACATGGATAACTTCAAAAACATTATGCTAAGTGACAAAAGCCAGACAGAAAAGACTATGTATTATATGAATCCATTCATAGGAAATATTAAGAAAAGTAAAATATGTAGAGATAGAAAATGGCTGGGCGGCTTCTTAGGGCTGGCTGTGGGAGTGAAATTGACTGCAAACGGGCACAAGATCTTTTAAAGATGATTGAAATGTTCTAAAACTGGATTATGGTCATGATTGCACAATTCTGTAAATTTCCCAAAACTCTGAATCAAATACTTAAATGCATGAATTTATGTTGATTATATTTTAATAATGCTGATAAATGCTATTATCACAAAGAAATTATATAATGCATTTCACCTTCAGAACAACTTTTAAACATGAACTGACTCATTGATGCTTCTCATGTTCCTGAAAGACTTGAAATAAACATCACCTCTGTTAGGCAGGCTATTGCAAAGGTACTGAGAACAATTAAACAAAGAAAAATAATGTGTGCATTCGTCTGAAGATAGTGCCTATATCCCGGCTTACTAGATTTCTGGTATTTCCCAGTTCTCTAGTTCAGTTAGGAAGAAAGATGTCTCAGAGTCAATGATCTATACTGTTTATCATAGTGTTTATCAATGATGCTATATTAGGAGATGTTATATTATGCTTCTTTTCCCAGTACATGTATTATAATCCCACCACTCTATATAGTCCTGGAAACACATGGATTTTCCTAACTTCTGGGAAAAACTCTACTTTTCTATAGTCAATTCACACTGCGTCAGATGTCAAGTTTCAAAATATATAAGCAGCTACTCTCATTAACCATATTTTATGAATCCTAATTTAAATTTTCAACAGTAAACATTAGGGGTAATTTTTAATAGAAATTTTCAATGAAAAATGCTCCTGTGATATACTAATGTTTCAAAATGGCCAGGACCCCCAAAATTAACACTTTAAATTATTAAACTATTACATTTCCATCAGCCTATTGTAAACAGGGAGATTCATCAATAATAATGACAATCAGACCATGATAAAAAATGTTCTAAATTATTTGGTTTATTAGGCTTCACTATATTGAAACATCCATCATTAAATTACTTTTCTTATTCTTGGGACTGATTGAATTTTAAAAACAATTAAAATAAGAAAAAAAATTGAGGCTGTCTATGCACATATCCCTGGCTACACAAAAATAACTTAAGCATTCATCCTTTCATAAAGGATCTCAGAGTAAGATAGAGAAATCAAGTATGTAAACAAATTCTTATCATATTTTATGTCAAGTAATTTAAAAAGATGAGTGAATGGGGAATGAATGAATGAGGAAAATAAGCATATAAAAGCCCAAAATCTAAATCAGTGCTATATTCCAACTCTTTTATTGTTTCTTTCCGATGAATCTAAAGTAACATAAAACAAATGCAATAAGCAATGTTTCTTCCCTTTTTTCTCTGCTTTCTTCAGCGAACATTACGTGGTAGAGGTCAAGCTTCCAGCTAGAATGTTTGAGTCGTTACCTCTGCAGATTAAAGAAGGACAGTTGCTTTATGTGTATCCGGTACTTTTTAATGTTGGCATCAATGAACAGCAAACTCTAGCTGAGAGGTAAGCTTCAGGTATAAGATTGTACTTCAGTTTTTCTTGTTTCTTTTTTAGGGCATGCTGAGAAATCCCACGTGTTTCTGCATATAAAACTTAGATAGATTTATGGGTAACATTTTCCTTTTTATCAGTACCAACTTATTGGATATAGCAAGGTAAATATTCATATTTAAGGAATTTAAAGGTGACCAAAACATTGAGGAAAATATTGATGCCAATACCAAAGTTTTCACATAGACTTTCTTCGTCTTTCCAAATATTTACGTGTATATCAAATGTTAAAATTCATCATGTTTATGTATATATCAACATTGTAAATAGCTAATTGTGTCAAAATTTTCTGGATCTAAAACACAATCTATTTTTCCTGTTATTTATTATAATAGTTATTATTGGATAATGTTAACACATCTTTTTATAATGACTTGCTCAGTGAAACAACAAATGATCGCATGTGATCCCATGAGTTACTCTCAAAGACCATTTTGTTTGAGCAGAGGACTTACTTTTACATCTTACATGGTTTACATTTTTGTAGAGACTACAAAAAATATAGATAACAGTTAAAGTTCATGTAACACACTTTTAGAGAAAGAAGTTATCATCTTGCTCTAAGGCCTGCCTGGAAAAGTTTCCCCACAAACAAAATTTTGGAGAATTTGATAGTAATTGATATTTAAAATACTTTCTTGTCTATAATTCAGTCTCTAAATATACCCTTCCCCCATAGGTAGCAGTTTGAAAGTGCCTAGCATATCCTTGCCATGCCTTGTTAATTATATTTTAGGTCTTTAATAATGTCTTTTATTAAACTAAAAATACCATTACAGTTATAAGCCTCTTGAATTTCAATGATGGTTAAGATTTCAGTTCTCTATTATTTTCCAACTATTTCTCTTCCTTTCCCTCTTATCCAAAAGCTATTTCCTAGACAACACAGGAAATAACTCATTTGCCAATTACAAAGTAGTTGACAAAATTTTATATTACACGTTTAGTTTTAAACTGTATGGAAACTATTAATTTATTTTTTTACAGTTTACATAAATCAGAATATAATTTTATTCACCTTTCTGTACAAGAAGTTTTCTTTGATAATTAATCACTTTTGAAAATTAGGATCTAAGATCAGATTATATTCTAGTTATCTATATATATTTGTCTCACAACAAATGATATTACTGAACAGAAATTATACAACTCGGGGGAGAAAGCCCAACACTCAAAAATTGTCTCTTCTTTTGTACACTACAGTGCAGAATGTTTTGGGTTTCAGTTAATAAGTTAGAGCCTGTGAGTGTGATATTTAGAGAGATGTGAGACTCTTCCATTTACAGACTTTTCAAAGACTAGATAGTATTGTATTTTCAAGGCTTCTAGATTTGACTAATTTGTATCATTCATGTCATTGTGACTGCTTCAGTTGTCCATCACTTTATTTAAAAGGTGTCCCTTCCTCTCCTCCCATTTCCCTCACATATCAAAAATGCATTTTTTTCATACATGGAAGCTGTGTAAGACACACAAGATTTGAACAGGAGGCAAAATGGTAAAGTAGGGAAAACCCTGGGAGAAGCAGGAAGGCTGAGTTTGAATAGCACTCTGACATCAACCAACCACCAAATCACTTCCTCTCCATTCTCTGAACTTTCTTTTTCTGATTCTGAATTTTGAGCTTTACTGAGCAACAGCTACATGTTAGGAATGTTATGTAATCTAGGTAAAATATTTTATTATAATATATATTTATCTAAAATCAAAATGTCTGTGACTATTATTAAGTAAATATTAATTCTATTAGCCTGCTTGGGCTGCTATAACAAAATACCATAAACTGGGTGGCTTAAACAACAGAAATTTATTTCTTACAGTTCAGGCTGGAATGTCTAAGATCAAGGTTCTAGTGGATTTTGTTTCTGGTGAGGGTTCTTTTCCTGGCTGGCAGATGATTGATAGATTGCATTCTCCCTGTGTGCTCACATGACCTCTTCTTTGTGCATGCGAACAGAGAGAGAGAGGGAACTCCCTGATGCTGCTTCTTGTAAGGACAGTAATTTTTAGGATCAGAACCCACCTTCACAAACTCATTTAATGTTAATTACCCCCTTAGAGGCCCTATCTCTAAATACAGCCACATTGGGCTTCCACATATGAATTTTAGGACAACACAAACATTCAGTCCATAACACTAATATTACCCCTGAAAGGATAATATCTTTTAAAATACCAGTTGATTATAGTGTCTGAAATAGTTAGAAGAGCATATATCAGATTCTAGGGAAAGTCCTTTAGATTTTCCTGGGTCTATATCCCTGTCCTCCAAGCTCAACTTAGTGTAGTGGTTGAACATTGACTCTGTACCAGGAACTGCTCTGCTAAGCTGTGGGACACAGAGAGAATAGAAGGTAACAAGAACGTGGGCTCTGATCCCTGTCCTGACAGAACAGACAATCCAGTAAGGAATACAAATCGACAAATATGGCCAGGCGCGGTAGCTCACGCCTATAATCCTAGCACTCTGGGAGGCCGAGGTGGGAGGATAGCTTGAGGTCAGGAGTTCAAGACCAGCCTGAGCATGAGCAAGACCCTGTCTCTACTAAAAATAGAAAAAATTAGCCAGGCCTCGTAGTGTGCACCTGTAGTCCCAGCTACCTAGGAGGCTGAGGCAGGAGGATCACTTAAGCCCAGAAGTTTGAGTTGCTGTAAGCTAGGCTGATGCCACGGCACTCTAGTCTGGGCAACAGAGTGAGACTCTGTCTCAAAAAAAAAAAAAAAAAAAAAGGCCGGGCGGGGTGGCTCACGCCTGTAATCCTAGCACTCTGGGAGGCTGAGGTGGGCGGATTGTTTGAGGTCAGGAGTTCGAGACCAGCCTGAGCAAGAGCGAGACCCCTGTCTCTACTAAAATTAGAAAGAAATTAATCGGACAACTAAAAACACATAGAAAAAATTACCTGGGCATGGTAGCTCATGCCTGTAGTCCCAGCTACTCGGGAGGCTGAGGCAGGAGGATCGCTTGAGCCCAGGAGTTTGAGGTTGCTGTGAGCTAGGCTGATGCCACGGCACTCTAGTCTGGGCAACAGAGTGAGACTCTGTCTCAAAAAAAAAAAAAGAACCAAAAAAACCCAAATATGACATTTCAGTTTGACTCATGCAATAATCAAAGGTGTGGAGAGGACAGAAATATTGCATAAAAGAATGTGATTCACAGGTAAGAGATGAGTCCATGGGGAAGTCTCATGGAGGGGATGAGCCAGGCTTAGTCAGAATGGGTGTGCGTATAGCATGTGAAAAGTCCCAAAGTCATTAAAATACGTCTTGTAAGGGAGAAGAGTGTAAACACATTCCCATAAGGGGTTTTGGAAGCCTTTGTGGAAAAGTGAGATGCTAAACTAAGACCAGACTTTCTCCTTATAGGGAGAAAAAAAGCACTGAAGTTCAGTGAGCTGATATGATGACGTGTGTTAGATTAATTTTTGAACATTTCATTTATTGCACAGTGCAATGCCTGGTACATAGTTGATGTTAAATAAATATTTGTTGAATAAATGAATATATGATCTGACCATGGTGTAAAGAATAGATAGGAAGGGAAGGAAACTATAGACATAGTTCTGGTGTATTTGGGAAGCTTCAAGATAGTACAGACTGGATATAATTAAGTACCTAATATATAATGAAAGTGGTAAAGAAAAAATAAAGGACGGGATACCAGAGTTGTGAAAAGATCAATGAATAGTGGGTAAGGTGAGGAAAAGAGGAAATCCAAAATGGTGCCTAGATTTATGAATCTGAATTAATGGCAAAATATTTGGGACAGGCTTAGAAATAGTTAAAAGGAAGAGGGGGTTTCCATTTTTGGTTATGTTGTAATTGAAGTGGGTTGGGAAAATTCAAGTGAATTTGAAAATTCAATTTCAAATTTTCAATTTGAAAATTCACTGAAATTTTCAAGTGACATCTGTAAATACAGATTTGGCTGGAGATACATATTGGAAGCCATTTAGATGACATCTTTTTATAAAGAGACAAGTGGACTCTAAGTTTGAACCTGAGAGATTCTCAAAGAGAACACAAAGTCAGTGACATACAGGTAGAAAGAAAGGTTTGTCTTGAAGAAGGGGTGAAAGAGTACTAATACGGAGCTGTTGTCTCTTATGGTATGAACAGAAAAAAACGTTGGCAGAAGTGACCTACTCTCTGAGAGGTTGTAGGGCTCTATATGTGCCTGCAGTAGATGATGGTATGTGTGAGACTGCTTGCAGCCCGGTGTTTAGTCCTCATCTTCTGGACCCCTCTCTCCAAGCTGTCATGGGTAAAGTGGAAGATTGGTCAGATTGAAAAAAAAAAGAGAGAAGAAGTGTCTGTTATATATGCAGAGATGCAGCCATGCAGAGGAAGTACAGCATAGGATGGGGAAACTAACATTAACTGAGTCATCAATTTTGTACACACACAGGAACTAGTGTTTTACATATGGTATTTCACCTGAGTTCATGTTTGATGATTGTGAGGATATTTTGGTGTGTCCTCTGTGAATGGTGGAATCAGGGTCAGTGGGAACTGGACTATGTTTGAAATAACCATTGTGCAAGGTTGCTTAAAAAATGAGAGACACTCCTTCCTTAGAAAATTATTGCCATCTATTTAAAACAGAAAGGTAAAAAGTGTTACTTTCTGGTGCTATTTTATAACCCATAACTGTTTCCTTTTTTCTATTTTTAGGTTTGGAGATGTCTCGTTGCAAGAGAGTATTAATCAAGAAAATTTTGAACTTCTGAAAGAATATTACAAGATATTTATGGAAAAGATGCCTCCTGATTGTAAGTGTGCAAGTCACGGAAAAAAACAATAATTTCTTGATTATAAATCTTCAGAAGGGGTCAGACATAGAGACCAATGGAGTAAAGAAGCATGGGGTGGAGATGTGAGAGTGATTTTGAGATTATCTGAACCAAAAGACTGATTGCCAAGGTGGCACGGCCAACATCTGCCTCGTTATCTTGATTGCACTCTTGAATGTGTCCTGCTGTTCATTCTGGGACTTTAATTTCAGTGCCATTGGAAAATGTCAAATATTAAAAATATGGAACTTATAATTAGAAATTTCAATTAATTCAATAACAATGTATAATTCTTAACCATATAAAAGACTTTAATAAAGATTTAAGTCTCTGGCCAGGCGCGGTGGCTAACGCCTGTAATCCTAGCACTCTGGGAGGCCGAGGCGGGTGAATGGCTCAAGGTCAGGAGTTCGAGACCAGCCTGACCAAGAGCGAGACCCTGTCTCTACTAAAAAATAGAAAGAAATGATCTGTACAACTAAAAATATATA